TGATGAGGGCAATGAATGTACAAATGTGCTTTACACAATTGATGTATGTATGGATTGTGATAAGAGTTGTATGTGCCCCCAATAAAATGATTTTGTTTAAAAAGAAGAAGGTGTTCAGAGGGGCCGGAAATGGAAGCTGTGCTATGCAAACTATAGGCACATTTTCTAAGGGCCAGGAGTACATCTACATAACCTTTTTTTATTTTTAAAGAGAAAGCAACAAATATATTTTGCTTACCGTGTTCATAAGGAGAGAATGTCCCCGCGTCAATGTTAATGTACGGGTCGATTTTAATGGACGTGACATGTAAACCACATGACTTCAGTATCGTGCCCACGCTGCTGGCAAGGATTCCTTTTCCAATTCCTGATATAACACCGCCAGTAACTAGAATGTACTTCATTTTAATTTCTGACCTGGGAGAAAGAGCAATGAGGGATAAAATAGGTCTCACTCAATCCACTCAAAAACCAGTGCTATCAAGTCCACTCTGACTCACTGAGACCCCAGGTGCCAAGAGCAGATCTACCTGAGCTCCCCAGGGGTTTCGGCGGCTAGTTTCTAGGATGTAGACCACCAGGCCCTTCAGGGGGGCTCCAAGGGCCGATTTTTTGTCTAGCTCAACTGAAGGGGAAGGAAAATTGTGGGTAAACTGTATCTCAGCCCATGAATGCATCTAGGTTCAATCATCAACTCTGGCACTAAAGAGCAATGAGCCTTCTTGGAACCTTGGTTTCCAGGTCGCCACAGTGACTCCTGACGGTTATTGTCAGGCTGGGTCTTAGCACGCGGAATAACGTAGTCAAACAGGAGAGTTTAAAAAACAAACAACTGCCGCCCAAATAACATAGCTTTTGTTTAAAGCTAAAGTCAACCTGTGAAAAATGAAAGAAAACATGGCAGCTCTAAGCTGCTGACACAACACTGTGCCCTAAATGTCAGCATCACTACCAGATGCTATTATACCCAGGTGCCTGGTTACTCGTGTGTGTGTGTGTGTGTGTGTGTGTGTGTGTGTGTGTGTGTGTAAGAAAAGGAGAGATTGATTCAATCTTGGATAAACACTGTAATCCCTGGTGAAAGTTATAATGTCTCTAGCTAAACTACAATGTATCACCAAGAAAATACAGCTCCTTTCCCATTACCAGCAAGAATCAAAGGACAGAGAATGAAAGGTCAACACTTAAGTACAGATAAACTTAAACATTTCTTTTAATTACAGGCAGTTCTCATCTGTACTTTAATTAATTACAGCTTGCTCCACCTGTCACCCATCTCTCCCAGAGCTGCCACAAAGAGACTGTCTGTCCTGGGGGAAAGGACATCAGATAATAAAGCATGTGAAGTGCACCATGCACACAGGACTCCAAGGGGGCACAGGAGACTTAATTCAAAGATGACTGTAGCAGTCACAGCAGGGGGTGGCAGGGACCAAGAGAAAACGAATGGATGCAAATGTAGTAGAAAACCACATAGACAAGAGGGATAATATAACGTGTCCATCACAGGCTTGTCTTGCCGGTGAGGGCTGACTGCTGGTCCCCAGCTCCAGCGGCCAAAACACGTCATTGGATCAGCACACCCAGATGTGATTAAAATGAGAAATACCATCACCAAGTTGCAGTGGAATACTTGCTCTGATGTGGTCAGGATGTTGGTTTTTTTTCTTCTCCTTCCTTCTGGAATGCTCCAGGTGAAACCAAATTACAAGAAAAATAAGCGTAGGAACAAGGGAACTGAGAAAGCACCTTGTTCCCCTCAGTGCAGGAATAAGGAGCTTGGCAAGGAGGTAAGAATACTTGGAGTGTCTCTTCTCATGCAGCAAGGAAGTTACCCGGCAGCCACATCCTGCTCTATCTAGCCTCTGCCACGGCGTACCCCAAAGCATGGCAAAGTGTTTAGGGAATCCCTAAAAGGGGGGAGGGGTTTGTCAATACGGAAACTGGGTAAACAAGTCAACTGGTTTCTTCACTGCCTTTAAATGTACTGACTTCCCAGAAAATGCACGATTGTAATGCTGTTTCCCCTAAAGCCCAAACCCAAACTCACTGGCCTCAAGTCGGTGCCAACCACTCAGAGCGGCCCTCCAGGGCAGGGTAGAAGTTTCTGAGGCTGTCACTCTTTAGGGGAGTAGAGAGCCCATCTTCCTCCTGAAGAACAGCTGGGGGTCTCCAACTGCTGACCTTGCCGTTGGCAGTCCACTCCTCTACCACTGAGCTTTAACCTTGAGTCCTTATTAAGTAGGGGAAATGTGAGTCCTGCCCTGATCATCACTGTTGAGTTGAAAGGTGCCTATTGACATGTGCCTATCAAACCGGGCTTCATTTTAGGTGTGTGCTAGTCAGACATGCTCCCTACTGGGGCTGCACCCTGGTTTCAAATAAAATTTGGAATGTTCCTAGGAATTCTTCATCTACCCTTTTTAAGTGATTACTTCTACAGAAGACTCATCCCGACCCTTTGCATTTGATGTGGCCCAACCTTACTCATTTGAGAAGACCCCCAGCAGTCTCCTACTGTGCCTGCAGACAGGGCAGAGGCAGGGAGGACTCAATCGCCCACATTTACAAGTGATGGACTCTATTTGAGCTACTGTGCTAGACCCTGTGGGCCCTATCTTAAGCGGCCGATGTCCAGTTAGAGACATGAAACATCTACACATTATCCAGTAATCAAAACATGAAGGGCCTAAATGAGGAGGAAGAGCGAGCAGAACCTTTTTAGGGCAAAAGACCAAGGTGAAGTGCAGAGCCCATCAGAGGGGAGTCCCAGCTTGGACAGGACTCCTGCTTTGTACCTTGAAGGGGCAAGGCACAACCGCATTACCATCAAGCAGGTCGCAACACTAGAGGGCAAGGTGGATTTCAGAGATTGGAATCATTTATGGGATGTCTTTCTCCAGGAGTGGCTGATGGTCTCACTGTTGAAGCTGTGGTTAGCAGCCCAACGCTTACACACTAAGCCAGCAGGGCTCCTTTGGGAGGAGTAAGCAGTAAATTTCTTTAAAAGGACGGGGATGGGAACAGAAAGCGCAGTTTGAGCAGGTGAGGGGCCACTTAACGCAGGGGTAGGGGCGATTCTGCTGGTGGGGGCGGAGTGGAAGAGAAGTTGGAAAGGTCAGCATGGGGCCAAATCTCGTGGGAACTTGGATATCTACCTCTGGGTGACGGGGAGATGGCGGAAGGTGGTTTTCACGCACACAAATAATACCAATCAAGATGCAGCAGGCGAATTCGACAAAGGGCGATTGGGGGTAAAAGACCCAAAACAAAAACAAACAAAGCACCACAATCTAGAAAATGTGGTTTGCCTGTTTTTTTTAAAGCGGTGTGAGGTAACAATCCAGCGCCACCACTTGTGCACAAGACCTCAGGCAAGTCCCGGGAAGCCCTGTCTTTAAGCTGAGGGGACAAGCTTCGCATCGCCCGTCAGTCACAGGACTGCTGGAGATGCAAAATTATAATGAGGGTAGACGTAAGCGCGCCACCAACGCGAACTTCTCAGGAAAGCCAGCATCGCCGCCGCGGGAGAGAGGGGACAGCTTTAGGACTGAACAGGGTAGCCGAGCCAGCCGCCCACAGGCACCTTCCACCCCAGGTGCCGGGATGCGCCACGACCCGACTCGCACCGAAGGGCCAGGGGGCTGCGCTAGGCCCCGAGCCCATCCTCCACCGGGGAGGGCCTAGCTCGGACCGTGGGCCCCCATCCCGGGCAGACCAAGCCCGTGCCTCGGAGCCGGACGGGCGAATGGAGGGTCAGGGTCGCCAGCGGGGGTAGGAGGCCGTCGGAACTCCCAGGGGGCCGAGGGGCTGCGCACAGGGCGTGCCCGCGCCTCTGCGGCCCTCTCCGTCCCACAAGCCATCCCGGCCTC